TGGTCGGGAAAATAAGCGAAATTAGGGGAACCCCGCTGGGACCAAAGCTGGTCCCTGTATTTTTCCCGACATTTTGAGACCCTAGTCGGGGAAAACGGACTTCGTTTGGACAAACGGCGAACTCCAACAGATAGAAAAGGTGAAAGAAAATCAACGTAAAATTGATTTTTTTTGTAATTTTGTTTAAATTAAAAAAAAAAAGAATGTAAAAATGTAATCCAATAAGTTTTTCTTCTAAAACTAGTGAAAGCTAACAAAAATTTTCTCGCGTTGAGCAGGGCTTTGCGATGTTCGTGCGGTTGCGCACAAAACCCAAAACCCTAATTAGGGGAAACCCTAATTAGGGTGAAGTCCTAACCCCAATTTTGAGAGAAGCGGGTAGATAGAGGGAAGCCATAGCTTCTAGCTTCCGCATTTGTTACGGATGATTTTTTGTCAAATATATCCCGTAAGATTGTGGAAATTAATTCCGAAAGTTTTGCCCCATTAAATAATTAAGAATTATTTTACTTTTGATTTTGTTATTTAAAATTGATAAAAAAATTGAAATAAATATTAAAAATTACGTAGGGGCATTTGTTTGACTTCAATGCTCTTCATATCTACTTTACCTATTTGAGGCACTTTTTTCCTAACCCCATCTCACCGGGGGGGAAAGAAAACTACTGTCGAAATTTCTTGAAATTTCCCTTTTAATTTTTATGTCATATTGCAGCGGTCGGCGATGAGGTTACAAGTGGTTATAGCACTAACTTACCTCAGCTGCTAGACAGATGACCTCGTAGCCGTCTGGGAGATAAGGCAGTGGAAATAGAAATTCGAAGCTCTTGGAAGGATAGTGGAAGCTAGAAAGGTCGATGGGCGACTTTGGATGRCAGTAGGAGGGCCTTTAGCGGGCTAACCRATTCAGGATAGGGCTAGGAGAACTAGCAAGGAGGACGGAGATAGACGCTCGGAGACTCTTGAGGGGTGTTGATCAGGAGACATTGGCTAGGTTTGGGACTGCGATCTGTCTCAAGGATAGAGGTCCTGTCACGGGTGTACTGCAGATCCGGAGAGGCACGGCCTTGTTGGCCGATTCCGAAGGAAAGGTTTACTTAGACACAGGGATTCTTGGGATATAGGGAGAGCACGAGATCTGCGACCGGTACGGGATACTGGAAGTGGTAATCAAGGCAGTCGAGAGCTAAGATTGGAGGCGGACGTGAGCCGTGACAAGGAAACACGTCYGGGCTGCCGCAACTGTCACATGTCCGRGCTGCAGCGACTGTTATAGGGTCGGGCTGTAACAGTTTGCTAGAATACCTAACTGCGTCTTCTGGCGGTCCAATGCAACCCGACACGATAGGGCCACAACCGACCACGGGCGAAGCGGGAGAGGAGTACAAGACATCGTTCGATCGAGCTCTAAGGGATCTGAAGGAACGAATTAGGCGAGAAGCACCGCTGAGATGGGCTGACCGAACCAATGACGGAGGGCCCGACGTAAGGGGCGAACCAGTTGCGACAGAGCCGCAGGAGGCTCTAAAGACGGGTACCTCGAGCGGACGACGAGAAGCGACGAGGCGACGCTCCCCCGAGTACGAGCGGAGGGACACCATAGCGGACAGGCACAGAGACGACTGGAGAGAGAGTTTGAGGGATTCCTATTGGAGGGACAGAGATAGAGACAGGGCGCCGCCCAGGCGAGTCTTCGACCCCCAGACAGGGGAGTCAAACCGCTCCCTTATGAGAGCAAGGATCGCTATATTATTACGCACAAGGCCTCAGAGCCTCCTACCTTCAGGGGCTACGGTATCACAGAATATCTGGAGAAGTGGGAGCTTCACGCCAGCTGGAGTCAGTGGTCGGAGGAAGAGATTACAGAAAACTTCCTATTTAATGTGGACCCAAGTCTCGGTAGGGAAGTTAAGGAAGCTCGACCGAAGGATGAAAAATGGACTACGTACAAGAAGAACCTTGTTGAGCTTTACAAATTGGAGGATAACAAGTATTCCATCAAGGACTTTGAAACAACGACTCAAGATGAAGATGAGAGCGTACGGGCATTTGGGATGCGTTTCCAGAAGATCTCCGACGTGCTGATGAAGAAGGGGAAGATCTCAGAGGTCGAGCGCTGTACTATCTTCATCGGACACTTCTCCAAAGGTAGGCAAAATAATATACTTAGAAATCTTCCCCGCTACAGGTTTGATTTCCGAGAAGTCCTAAAGCTCGCGATAAAGGCAGAGGCAGACGATTACAAGGACTTGGTGTGGAGAGGGATGAGGAGACGTGACTTCTCTCTCTACAAGGAGTATGTCACTTATAGATGTTCTGATTTCAAGGACTATCCCTGGTCGGAGAAGAACGAGGCCGTGGCTGAGGAAGTGARGGAGATACGGGACATGGTGAAGGGATTCACGAGACAGGTTACAGAGATTGTGACCACTAGAGGGGCCACGGCCTACCGGGACAAACCTAGAGGGCCCTATTCACTTCGCTGGGACCGTACGAACAACGATTCCTGGAGGAGTGTCGAGGATAGAAATCCTCGGACGCTGACTGATTATCGTACGAGAGGAAGAGAGAGAGACGATGAGTCATGACGACGTAGGGATGATGAGATAGACCGAGACCGCAGAGATCGCGAGCCGTTTGCGCGAGCAAGGAGGCTGGATGATTACCCGCGAAGCCCTCGCTATAAGGCCGATCGGGGTAGAGGCGACTCCCGCGGCCGATGGGAGACAGATCAAGGCCGACGAGATGGATATAGGGACGACAGATACGAGAGATCGGGCCGAGATGGATATAGGGACGACAGATACGAAAGATCGGACCGAGACGGATATAGGGACGACAGATACGAGAGGTCGGGTCGAGATGGCTACAAAGGTGGTAGGAATGAAAGAGGAGATCGGGACTGGGAACTACGAGATGGGTCGCGCGGACGGTTTGAGCGCGGGGGAGATGCGAGAGAGTAGCGCGACGAGTCGAGGGGATGGTACAACCGAAGGGACCGACGCGATGAGTCACGAGGGCGATATGACTCGGGGGACCGCCGGAATGATTCGCGACGACGGTATGAGCAAGGAGGGTCTGGAGGAGACCGTCGCAACGATTCGCGCGGTCGGAATGAGAGAGGGGGATATGGCATCTCATCAGAACCATATCCCAAGTCGCCTGACCCCAAGCCAGCCAGGAGTTCGATGTCTAGAAGCGCAGACGACAGACCATCTACTCCCAGGAACTCATGCGTCTACTGTAGAGGAGAAGATCATATCAAGAGGGATTGCCCGAACCTCAAACGGACAATAGATAAGGGACTTGTCGTGCTTGACGCCTGCAAGTACGTCAAGTGGGCAGATGGTCTGGGAGATGTATCGATGTTCGCTTTGATGAAGGAGAATGTTGAAGCAAGGAGAGTAAAGCCGAGTAAAG